ACCCTGAACGTGCTCCTCGAGGCAGTCCAGAACAAGCCTCGCTGGATTGGGGGAGAGTTTCAATGCATTGGGGAGTTGTTCACGCAGTCTGTCTATATTGGAGAGATGCCTTACCATGTACTCCTTCAGACCACGACTGCTCATTGTTTCACAGAGCCTTTTCAGCTCTAAACAAGGAGGGGTTTGCACTGCCTCCTCTTCAGATGGTCATTTCACGTCCTCTTCCTCTTCGACCTCTTCTTCCTCTTCCTCTTCGACCTCTTCCTCTTCTTCTACATCTTCCTCTTCCTCTTCAGAGGGTTCAGATTCTGGCTCCGCGACTGGGACTGAAAGTTCCGGTGCTGGCGGTGATGAAGCGGATAAAGGAGTGGTATTACTTGTTGTGTATAGGGAAGAGTCGACTGAGGTCCGGAAAGAATGGATGTGTAGTTGTAGGTCAGTGAAGCATCGTTGGAACGCAGAGAGGGAGGCAGAGAGATTGCGGAGATCGGCAATGATCGAGTTTGTTGCTGTATATTCCAACTCTTTCTGCTGCGAAGCGTTTTCTGCTTGGACTAATTGGGTGGCCAATGGCGACTGTGACAGAGGCATCGCTCCGGCGGAATCCGCTGCTTTGTCCATCGTATTCATACAAAATTGACAATAGAAGCAGCACCGATAATAATCCTTAAATCATCAAACGATTCCTAACCAAATCCGTATTTATTGTATTTGGAATTGAAATGAAATAAAATTAAATTTTCCATCTTGACCGATTTACTTAAAAAATTAAGCATTTTGTAATTTTATATGAAAAGATAAATCGCGACTTAACTAGTCAAAATGTGAATGACTTTTCAACAAAAGTTCCTTAATGTTTCTTTTCACCTAGGCTAATTGGCGGATTACACATCACCTGTATCCCAGTAACTGCATCACAATTACATATTGGCATCACTTAACTGGCAATGGAAGTTTGGTACAGGCTTCAACTCTTCACATGGTCTCGGCCACTAAATTATGGAACATCTATACGAAATAAAAGGATCATATTAACTCAAGTGACAGCATAATAAAAAATTATTTTAAAATTTTAGAATAAAAAAATAATTATTCATAAGATTAAGTCTAGTGTCAAAATACTACAGAACCACTTGATAAATTTTGCAATTATTCATAAAAAAATTTAAACACGAAAAAGAAATAACCAAGTTAAAATTATAAATTCGATAAATAATATACAGAAGTATTATTTATAAATTTAGACAAATTGGAGAATGTGAATAATAGAAAGCTTCTCTCTTTAGACTTTTGAACAAAACACTAAAAGGTTTCTCTCTTTATACTTTTCATGAATTCAAAATTATAATTTAATAAAAATTAAGTGTATTTTTATTATAAGTAAAATACTAAATAAAAAAACTAATCAAATATAGTAGTAAAATAAATATACGAAAAGAGATAATAAATATAATGTTAGGATATTTATAATTTGAATTCATTCAACAAAAAAATTAAATAAATATCACTTAAAAATCTATTAATAAATTTATACACTCGAAGAATTTTGAATAGTAGACAAAGATTTGATAATATTTCCATGAATTTTGTGCCAAGTGTCATAACTAACATGTCAAGTTTAAATTTTTAGAATAAAATTCAAACAAATTTCAAAATTATTTTAAAAAATAGAAGATAGAAAATTAAAACTAAAAAAAACTAAACCTACCAATTTTAAAAAATTAAATACTTCCTCCAACGTTTAAGGAAAATTTAATACTTCCTCCCGCGTTTATTTGGTAGTTTTTTTATTTATTTATTAAATCTTTCCGTGCAAAAAGAAATTAATATTTTTCCCATATTTTTTGTGCTGCAATTTATAATTATTTATATACTTAAAAAAAATTACACAGAAACAAGAAAAAAGAAGAAAAAATAAATCATCCGAAAATTCAACCCACGGCTGATATCTTCCCAAACGTGGGCTTGGAATAACAATTCTAACCTACCTCTATAATTGATTCCTATCCATATTCTCCTATGCAAATAAATATTTATGCAATTTTTCTCTTTCAAGTATACATTAAGCCAAGTGGTAGCCTAATAATAAGTCACTTGGTATTGCTGACAATTGGCAATATTAGGATAAAATAAATAAATAATTTAGTGTGGTTAATTTAGCTAATATGATTGTGAAATACGGCATTTCTAATTACATTAGACGTGAAAGATTTTTATGATGTTTGTTGCTAAGTTATGTGGAAGTTGGATGTAATTTTGTGACTATCAACACTATTAATTATTTTATTATTGATCTAATTTCATATTGTTTCACTAATATTTATCAGTTGACGGATTTATATGATACTATTATCTACTATTTCATAAAGATACAAAAAGATAATAAATATTTTTAAATATTTTAAAAGCAAACTTTATTCTGAATTTTTTTTTAATTTCTTCAGATACTTAAAATAAAATTATAATTCAAAAAATAATAGTAGAATTTGGATAGACTTGAATGTATGGCTATGTAGTGCATTTACATGTTTATAAAATAATATCATTTATATACTTATCGTATTTTTCAAGTAATATCTTCTTAAGAAAAAAATATATTTAATATTCTTCGCGTAACGCGCAGATATCAATACTAGTTTTGTTGATAAAAATCATAACTTTTTGAACAACCACAAAGTTATATAGTCAGGGGCGGCTCTAAAGGGATGGATAGTGAGATCGTCGCCTTAGGCCCCCGAAATTTGAAGGCCCCAAATTTATTTTAATTTTTTCTTATTATTATTACTATATATTATATAAATAATTAGTATAAAGAAAAGTGTTACAACATTTTTTTTTTATTTGATTGAGGTTATTTTATATCAATAAATTCATAAATAATGATAATTTGCTTTACTGATTAATTAGTATATTTTCCACAGCATTCAATTTTAATTTTATTCCTTTTATATATATGAATTAAGTTATATATATCGACAACATAATGAATTTCTTTTACAATGTTCTCTCAAACTGCATGAACACAAAAGCATTCATGCACCATTTTTTTTAGTGTAATTCGACATATTATATTAGGTTATTTATAATTTATTTTAGATATTCACCAATAAGTGCTACTTAATAGAATGAACTACAATTATCGTTTAAATTGATCATAAGGAGTAAATATTTTTGACACCGTTAATACTCAAAACTTAAGTTATTACGTTATGTACGTTTATTTCTTTTTCTTGTTTGTGATGATATCCAAATCAAAATTTGTGGTTCTCAACATCCGATAGTCCACCACTTTATTTTTTATGCTCTTCTTTCTAGTATTTGTTTTTTGAAATTTGCTTATTTTTGTCTTAAATGGTTAATTTATTATTTAAAAAGTAAATTTTATTGTTAGTGTAAATATTTTATAAAATAAATTTAAGGGTCTAACAATATAATTTCGCTGTAGGCCATGAGATCCATTGAGCCGCACCGCACTGTATACCGTTGCCTGGCCTTTAAAGTAATATCATCATGAAAACTACTGAATTTGTCCTCCTTACTAACAACAAAGTAAGAAGATATAAATCAGGAAGCGCGGGAAAAGAGGTAGTACAATCTTGCGTGATAGCGATGGAAACAACATATTGAGTGTACATATGCAACATACTTAGCAAGGGGTGTCAATTGAAATTCTTTTGTCAAAAAAAAATATATACGTAGGTAAGTAATTTTATTTTAATATATGTAATTTTTTTTGTAGGAGAAAAATCCCCTTGTTTTTTTTCGTAATGTTCGTAAATATACTTTTATTTACTATGTGTTGTAGCATAGTCTTGGTAACGCTGAGATCGTGGCAGATTCCAAAGAGGTATTAATATGAGAAAAATGACAAATTTTCTGTACACTAACTTAATTCATGATTGCAAGTTAATGCTCAAACACTTGGTGGATCTCTTGAGCATAGGTTTGGAGAACATACACAGTGGCAAATTCACTAACAAGTACAGGGGCGAATTGATCTTCCGACTTGCGGGTTCAAATGAACCCAGTAAATTTTGTCCAAACGGTATAAATATGTTCGAAAAATTTATTAAATATCTATAAATATTTGAATGTGAACTCAGTTACTATTAAAAATTTACTTGAGGTTCTTACAGGAACCCATAAGTATTAAATTTTGAATCCGCCTATGAACAAGTAATGGCAACATACTTTTTAGCAGTTTTCCCTCTGTATGTTTTGGACATTTTTTGAAATTAGACAAAAAGCTAGTAACATATACTAGAAAAGCCTCGATTATAATGAAAAATCACAACTTGTTAGTGAATGAAACTAGAAGCACTTCATCTTGTAAAGATGCATATAAACTATCATGGGTCTTTCTAGTCATGCCCCATTGACCCCTTAGATGCGCCCCATGGTGTCCTGGCAAGCCTCCTAACGCCTAGCGAACTGCAGGCAGATGCCAATAGCGCCGCATGCGCAGACTCTGATGCTAAAGACAAGGTTGCTGCCAACAGATCTGCTTCTACCTTGTAGAAATCTAAGTCCTTTCTGTTGTAAATATAGAGTAGTTTTACTTCATGTATTTTCATTATGTCTCTCTAGCTTAATTATGTCAAGTCCTCGAACTTTGGTTTATTTTTTTAAGCATTATTAGGGGGATCAAGCAATCAAACTTTCAAGCAAGCAAACAATTCTCTGTACTGGTGTCTCTCCCCCTCGACACCATGTTGCTTTTTTATAATAGCTTTCATTAATGCAATCACTTTCTTTCATTCTCATTCTCTTTTCTGTTCTCTCAATTGCTCTTGACATTGGTTTTTCCATACAGCACTAACAGTCTCGTCTAGCGTACGGAGGGGACCCCAGTTAGCGGATAGTAACCGCACAGATATCTGTTGCTTAGCCTTACGTCGCCCTTCCAAGGAATCTCAGGAGGCGCTGTGTAACAGTTGGTATCAGAGCCTAGGCTCGACATCGGATGAGGGAACACATTGCCATTACCACCATTTCTAACCATGGTGAATCATGTGAACCGTATTGCGGCCTTTGAAGAGACGGTTAACGTATTACAACCCATCATGAATATGGTACCTAATCTAAGAACCAGCTTAGTGCAAAGGTTGGACGACCTGGACCGCAGGATAGGGTGGGCATAAAATCCGAAAAATCGAATTCTGAATCGGACCGAATTAATTCGGTATTTTGATTTCATTTTTTTCGGTATTTCGGTGTAAAGGTATGGTCCTCGGTATTAGGATCTTGAATTTTCGGTATACCGAAATACCGAATTTTAAGTTGGACTTATAGCTATAGTGCCCAACCCAAGTTGTATATCTAATGCCCATTGCCCAGCACCCCAGCCCAACCCAATAAGGCCCTACTCTCTAGTCTTTCACTTATCTGCTTTGTTCAATTAGGGATTAGCCGATTAGGGAATTAGAATTTAGAAAGGGAGAAAGACAGAAAGTCAGAAACGGCGATAGTTTTTTTCAGCCAGAAGACCTTTGCTGTGAGAATACTAACTACTAAGAGATCGGCTGCTGTGACTTCAAAGAATCAAAGGTATGTTTCTAGTTTCTTCAAAAGTATCTTTAGTTTCTTCAATGGTATCTTTAGTTTCTTCAAAGAAAAATAGATATTATCTGTTTCTGGATGAATTAGATGTAACTGGTTCGAGTAAAGACTACTTTTTCCTTTTATCTTTCTCTACATTAAAGACTTCAGGTACTATTTTTTAGGCAAGCCACTTTTAAACTGGTCTACTGATTTGCTGGATTTTTTGTGGGGTTTAACAATTTTTCTTGGTAGGGTTTTCTTTGAAAGAAAAAGGTGGGTCTTTTGCACAAGATCTGTGTGCTTTCATTGACCCTTCTTCTATTTCGTTTTCATCTGTGTGGTGGGGTTGTTCTTATCTCTTTCTTTTGTGGTCTTCGAGTATTTTTTTAGCTAAAATTAGCTAACCCCTCATTTTTTGGGCACACGTTGTCACTTAAAATTAGGAATCACTTAGAATGTTAGATTTAATTCCTTTGTCTGTTTGTTTCATTGTGTATCATTCCCTAAATTCTGCACAAATAAATTTTTATATCTTGGTGATATGTTTTGATTGTTGACTGAGAAAGTTAGTCCAATAGTCCTTAGTTTGAACATATCATAGTAACTTTTTTTTTTATATAACCAAGTTTACACCTTCCTGACTCTTTAGATATTGCCACATCGTGCATATGACTGTTTTAAAACTTCTATTTTATGAGTACTACCTGTGCTAACTTGTTTGCATGTTAATGATCTAGGAAAAATGATTCTGCGGTATGATCACCTTTAGGAATAATATATAATCTTAGCAGCTATGGATGGTTGCCCCTGCTTAATCTTCATTTTTTTGTGCTTTACATATATCCTTTTGATGAAGCTGCCACTGTGGCTATATCTACTGTCAAAGAATTTGGCAGTGACCTCAAAGAGGTATTATCTGCTTATGGATTTTAGTTTGCTCAGAACTTGATTGCAATATAGGTCACATATCTGTTGAGACTAAAATCCTTCATAGTGTTCTTATCCTATGTTGGTGAAATTGTTCGCCTGAAGCAGAAATATTGATAATGGTGGATGTGGCTCCACTGTTACTAATAGTATGTTGGCATCTTGTTACTAGTTTTTATTTTCTTTTTGCTTATAAATGTATATATATGTAATTACTAGCGTCTTAATAGTACCCAAGAAAGTGATTGTATATAATGATTTGTGAAGTCTTAAGACCTCCATGAAGCAGCCAGAGCCTCCTCCTTTACTGCATACTATTCTGATTGAGATGAGCAATTTAATAACTTAAACAATTAAACGTCATAGTAAAACATAATATTTATAGCCTTGTAATATAAAAGTCATGTGGTCTGAATTTTCTCCTGCAACTTCAACTCTATTTATTTCCCATGTACTGGTCTTGACAACTTTCTTATATACTTTAGTATGATTACACATTTGGAACTTGGAAATTCTTTTCATTAATTATGATCTTACATGGAAGTTCTAGAACAGCTTGTGTGCTCTTAGTTCAACTTTTAATCCCTTAGAACTAGAAGTTGTATAATCTCCAGGATTGAATATAAAAGAGCCATGTCTAATTGTTGAAACACTGCAATTGCTTGAGTAATTATTCTAGTTATTCTTGCTTAGTAACTATTACTTTGATCTTGACACGTCTCTGAAAAATTTGTCGATATCATTTTCTGATGGAACTCGCTGAGGGACTTTTTTAGTTTCACTCGAAGGTGAGAAGTTTTAATATCTGCATTTTGATTATTTTTGAGGTAAATGTACACTATCAAGTGCAATCATGCCCCATGCTCTTAAAGTACGCTTTCATATTTGGGAACACTTTGAGGTGAAAGAAGATAACAGAGAAGTTCGCAAAATAGAGTGCAAGCATTGTGGTCGAGTCTATAATATTCATCCAAAGAGGGATGGCACATATTGTTTAAGGAAGCATATTATGTGTTGTCTTGAGCGTCTTCCTGACATCCGTATTTAAGAATTAAGACTAAGTTGATTCGAGACTATTTAAGAATTGAATCCGTATTTAACAATTTTGTTTATCCATGTTGTATCATTTTTTTAGCGTCTAGACAGTTTCTGTTTCTTGCCTTGAATTGTGCTTACTCCTTAGACCTTAAACTGCACGGAGCATTGTGATCACTGAATTGTGAATTGTGAAAGAAATTGCCAGGCATCAGTTGCACTCCTTAGAATTGTGAATTGTGAATTGTCAAAGGAAATAATGGTGCTTAACTGCTTACTGTTAGCGACAGCGTTGTCAAAGAGGGCTGACCGAGTTAATTTGCTTATTTAACGATTATTAAACCAAAATCGTACCGAACCAAAATAAGAAATATCGAACCGTACCGAAATAATTTGGTACGGTATTTGATATACACAATTGATAAATCGAATACCGAAATACCGAACCGAAATTCTTAAATACCAAACTGAAATACCGAATGTCCACCCTACCGCAGGATACGGCAGGCCGGAGGTGACATCGCAAATATCAGTCATAACTCTGAAGGAGACCGACAAACGGCAACCACAGAGGCAGCCAAACTTTTCAGTAAATTCGAGGGCCTCCAATAGGAGAGGACCGAGGATTAGTCTATAGGGCACAAGAGGCAGACAGAATGACTGCCATGCAACAAACCATAGACAACTTAACATGCCAGCTCAATGTTGTCAACGTTGCATTACAAGGCCTACTTCGGGGTGGCAGAAACCACACCGGGGGTGTTGTGAACCTCGCCCATGTGCCACAAAAACTGAAGCTTCCTGAGCCAAAACCCTACAATGGGGCTCGGAATGCCGAGAAGGTTGAGAACTTCATCTTCGACATCGAACAGTTCTTCGATGTCGTAGGAGATTTAGAAGAAGCAAAAAATGTAGCAATTGTTGCAATGTATCTTCCAGGTGATGCTAAACTCTAGTGGCGGTGAAATACAAACCCATCGGGGCCGGTGAAGATTATAAGCCTTGGGAAGACCTAAAGGCAGCCACACACCTACAGTTTTTCCCCGAAAATATTGAGTACAGTGCACGGAGAAAACTCTGGGAGATCCGCCAGACCAAGGCAGTCCGGGATTACGTGCGGGAATTCTCCGCACATATGCGAGATATATGGGATATGGGGACAAAGACAAACTATTCACATTCTTGGAAAGTTTGAAACCTTATGCCCGTATAGAGCAACAAAGACAAAGGGTAGACATTTTACCCAAGGCAATCTAAGCAGTGGAATTCCTTGGGGACTACCAAGTGGAAGCTCGGACGGAGATGCCTCAACCGCCTGTCCGAGGAGGATACAAAGGGGACCAACCTAGCAATGGTGGCCCTAGCAGAAGTGGTAGGGATTGAAGTGTAACCGATGAATCAATTCAATTAGACGTCGCTTACCTTAATGCAATCTAAAACTCCTTCCTCAGGAAGCAACAATGCTTCGTCTCACAATAATGATCGGAGGAGGAAGCCCCTACAGGATGTCGCCAATGCGGTGGGCCACATTTGAACAATGAATACCCACATGCATAAATGAATGCCCATCAAACTTTTGATGATGGAACAGATGACGACCAAATAATGTTGACTAGACAGAACCAATAGGTGCGTTTAACGTACTTATTTGTTTTATTTCTGAGGCCTTAGCGGGAACCAGTGCCGGCATCTATAAGAATAAGGACTTATGCCCAACCACCAAGAAAGGGAAAAAGAAGGCAGATGAGGGGCTTCCTTTTAACCAAGAGAAGACCATGATGTTCATCGAAATGAATGTGAATGGCAAACCCATTCAGGCGATGATAGACACAAGCGCCAGTGAAGCTTAGGCCTTATGAAGAAAAATTCAACTTGCACATGGTGATCATAGATGACTTCGAGCTGATAGTTGGATTGGAATTCATGAGGCAAAACAACACCATTCTTGTACCTTATGCCGACATGCTACTGATGATGAGAGCAAATGGGGCCAAGCCCTGAATTATCCCATGAATAACTATAAAGATAACCGCAGAGAACATCTCGGCCTTGCAGTTGAAGAAGTGAGTCATAAGACATGAACCTACATTCCTAGCTACCCTCTGTATTGAAGATATTGAACGCTCTTGGGGTCTCATTGTTGCACCCATGAATGAGCTGCTAAAGGAGTTTGAAGACGTCATGCCACAGGACATGCCAAAGCGACTCCCATGTAGGCGCACTGTGGACCATGAGATTAGTTGGTGCCGAGTACAAAGCCACCCGCCCGGGCGCCTTACAGAATGCCACAACCCGAACTTACCGAGCTTCGGAGACAATTGACGGAAATGCTGAACACAGGGATCATTATTCCCTCTAAGTCCCCTGATGGGTCCTCTGTGTTGTTCCAAAAGAAACACAATGGCACCTATGACTATGTATTGATTATTGGGCTCTAAACAAAATCACCGTGATGAACAAGTATCTTATCCCGCTAATGGTAGACTTGTTCGATATACTAGGTAGTGCTACAATGTTCACCAAAATAGACCTGAAGACAGGTTACTAGCAAGTCTGAATTGCTGAGGGAGATGAACACAAGACGACCTGTGTGACAAGATATGGGTTTACGACTTCCTGGTCATGCCATTCGGCTTGACTAATGCTCCAGCCACATTTTGCACCCTGATGAACCAAGTCTTCCGAGAGTACATTGATGAATTTGTAGTGGTCTACTTGGATGACATTGTGGTATATAGCAAAACATTTTAGGAACACCTGGAGCACCAGCGGAAGGTCTCCGACTGTGGGAACACAAATTATATGTGAAGTTATCCAAGTGCTCATTCGCCCTAAAATAGATTGACTACCTCGGGCATGTCATCGAGGAAGGGTGGATCAAGATATACTAACTGAAGATTCAGGTTGTCACAGATTGGTCGCCGCCTAAGGATATCCACGCCTTGAGGGAGTTCCTTAGCCTATGCAACTTTTATCGGCGGTTTGTAAAAAATTGCTCTCTCATTGCAGTACCATTGACAGAACTCCTAAATAAAGTCACGCCTTGGGATTGGGGTCCCCAGCGATAAGAGGCCTTCAACACATTGAAAGCGGCTATGTCTAGTAGCCCCATCTTGGCCAAATAAGACTTCTTGGCCTTTCCTGATTTGGCCAAACTATTCGAAGTACAAACGGATGCCTCTAACTATGCTCTGGGCAGAGTCTTGCTATAAGAGATGCATCCAATTGCGTATGAGAGCCAGAAGTTGAAAGAGCAGAAGGGCGCTATGCCACCTACGAAAAAGAATTATCGGATGTTGTCCATTACTCATGCCTTTAGAGACACTATCTATTGGGAACCTTGTTTGTGGTCAAGACGGACAATACAGTTGTTAGTCATTTCATGACCTAGCCAAAGCTGAATGGCTGGCAGGCCAGGTGGCAGTAACTCCTAGAAGAATTTCACTTCGACCTGGAGTAAAAGTAGTAAACTACAACAACTACAACTCAAAACACTATAAAACTTGCCCTAAAAAGTGATTCCCGTCTATTTATAGTGGCCCAAAATTAGCTGATAAAAATGCCCTTCGGGAGGTTTGGCGGCCGCACAATTCCATGTGCAGTCCGCACTTTACTTGGTTCTGCAAGTTGAGGAATTAGGCAGCCACAAAATTTGGTCTGCGACTGCACTTCAGCTTCTGCGACTGCACTTTTGGCAGGGCTTCACTCTTGGTCGCTTTGGCACACTCTCTGAACTTTTTGAATTCTTGTAAGTGAGACCATGTTTTGCAGGCACACAATTTATGTGCGGCCCACACTTTGTTTCAACCATCATCTGAGCTTTAACACTAAATCTGCAGCCACATAGAGAATTCTGCGGTCTGCGCTTTCTTCTACGGTCGTAGAATTACTTACGTGGACCGTACTTTTGGCCTGCTCCACTCCTTCTTGCCTTTTGAGCCGGAACA